CTGATGCTGCTTGGCCTGCTGTGTTCGTCCAGCTCTACACCTTGTTATCTCAGATTCTCCAGCATCGGCAGTTCCTACTATCACCGAACTATTCTAGTCCCATTTTCCAGCACCTGGCGCTTAGCTTTTGTATGCCTTGGCATCACAAGTGCACATCTGAATACTTCTTAAATGTTATATTAGACAGACTGGCCTGTACTTACTAGGTTCAATCCTATATTTTTGCGATTTTGAGTATACTGTAAGAAAATATAATTCGAACATAGGCATAAAATCCAGGATGGCAAAATATCAATTGGAATGACACAAGATAACTTTTAAACCATGATTTTTTTTGTTCTGTCTAATGAAGGTATTATTTTTGAACACATCATTGTGAGCAATAATTCAAATGAAATGTGAGATTATAGAAGTGATGTGTACAACTGATAACCTGGGCCCAAAATGGGTGCCATTTTCCAAATATGTCTGGTTGATAGGGAACCTTAACTTTTACAGTTGAAAAATTAGCACTATTGATTTTGAAACAATGGCAATTCAAAGGTTAGTTACAGAGTAACTAGCCATGGTAAGTAACTGTACTAAAATAGCTAACTTTGTGGTAAGTGACTACATTTTAAAACTACTTAATTTGTTGTAAAGCACATTGAGGCATTCTCACATTGTGAAAAGTGCTGCAGTAATGCAAGTTTTTTTTATTTTTGTGAGATAATTTATTTCCTCGGGATGAAAATAAAAGTGTGCTCATTATTAACTGTGTTGAGCTTTCGTTTGTGTGATCATTGACTTTTGTTTACTGATAAAAGTACGTTGATTTTACAGGATTATTCAGATCATCAATATTTTAAAATCTTAGAATTTCCTGCTTTTTTTGTGATTCCATGGAACAATTTTAATTCTTTAAATAATCAAATGCTAAAAACCAATCAATAGAGTCTAACTACAACGTATGGATAAAATAAACTTACTGCTTTTGGTATAATGAAATTAATCTTAATTTGCCTTCACTTCAACCTAAAACAAGTTTCCAATTACACACAGAAAAGTGAGAAGCAAAGTTCTAAGTTCTTGCTATAGAATACTGGCTATTAATGAATCCTTTTGTAAAACATACATACAGTTTTTGAAAGCTAAAAGATGTGGATGTTACCTTCCCTTTCCCCCAACTGAGGCTTCCTACACACTACTATTAAAAGTGCCCATGACCACATCCAATCTAGCTCCTACACTAATATTCTTGCACCTTTTCTCTCCCATCCAGAATCATTATGGGATTCTCCTTGTCTTAATATTCCACTTCATCAGCCTCCATCTTTAAAAAAGCAACCTTCAGCGTGATGCCACTAAATAACTTCCTGTCCCTAATAAGCATTCCGAATGGAAAATTCCCACCGCAAAACTCTAGTCAATTTCTACTTCGGTCCTACTACCCCTTCCTTTGACACTATCCCACATAAGCCAGGAGATGTAACATCTCATTTTTCACCTCCTTTCTCTCCAGCCAAAGCCTCAACTACTTGTTGGTGAAATCAATTTACTTGGAAGCTGCTTTCACAAGAGGCTTGATGAGGTACTGCAGTACAGCTTGTATGTTGCAGATGTTTGGGCTGCTATGGCCTGGATGGTATATATTGTTGATGCTGAACACATTCAGTCAAACGGGGAGTATTCAGCCACATTCCTGGCTTGTGTCTTGTAGATGGTGGATAGGTTTTAGGAAGGAAATGAGTTGCTCACTGCAGAATTCCTAACTTCTGATTTTCTCTTATAGCCACTTAAATATCTGGTTGATTATACCCTCCTAAGATGTTGATGGTGGTGAACTCCACACCAATAGTGCCATTGAATGTGGATGGTTGGACTCTCTCTTGTTGATGGTGTTATGATTCTAGCTGGACAAATCATGTTCCAGCATGAAATCTGGCTTGACATTTATTTTTTGTTTAGTCAGGTAATGTGTTAGTTAATCACTGAGACAAATGTTGGAAAGTGGAGTCCTTTAAAACCAAACCTTCCTAGTATTTACTGAGTATCATGAAACCTTACTTAACTGCTGTTATAGCTTAATCAGCTTTCACAATTCCTAATGGATAATGTCAAAAAGAACTACTAAAAAAAGAGGTGTAGGAAAATAAATAGGTTTCCAATAAAACCAAGATAATGCCATTCTACTGAAGACATGTTGTGAAATTAGCAATGAAAATTCACAGCAAACTCGGGCAATGTCAGTGATCTGGTAGCACCAGAAAATACAATAGCATAAACAGCACATCACCATTGATACAGCCCAAGCTAAAAGCCAGGGAGATCCAACATTTGTCACAGTTCTGAGATTTTCAGTTTAGAGACTCTATACTATGCTGTGATGCTCAGCAAACATTGTAACATGTAGGCACTGGGACTGATCTTTGTGTTCTGTATCACTTGACAGTGAATGTTTAAAAAGTATTTGTTCTATTGGAAATCTTCTCAAATTCATTTGATATGCAAATAGAACGAAAATCATATTTTACAAGTTCATTGCAATTTATTTTCAGATTACCTTTTAACCCACCTGATTCAATTTCTATAATACACCCAAAGCAATAGTCCACAAGTAAACTTAAACAATTGAATCCCAAACAAAATGCTTTATGTGATGCAAGGTTATGAAAATATAGTATATTCGAACAGTTATATCAGCCTTTTACACAACGTAAGTACAAGTTCTTGAACAGTAATGTGTTTATGTAACACTTTTAGTGAAACATACTGAGGTTCTTTACAGGAGAGTTACCAAACACAATTTTACACCAAGCCACACAAGGTGACATTCTGACAGACCACCAAAAGCTTCATTGAAGATGCAAATCTTAGTGTTTTAAAGGAGGCACGAGTTTATGGTGGAAATTTCTGGGTTTAGTGTCCGTGCAGCTGAAGACACGGACACAAATAGCAAAGCAATTAAAATCAGGGATGCTCAGGAGGTCGGAATTGGATTGTTCTAATGAAAGGTCATTGACCTGAAGTGTTAGGTCTGTTTCTTACTCCATAGATGCTGTCAGGCCTGCAGAGTACTTCCAGCTTTTTCCATTTTTAATTTGACTTGAATGCAGATATCTTTGAGGGTTTACAGATGTGGAAAGGTAATAAGTACAATGTTAAGAATTTAAAAATAGGCTGTAGATCTGGAAACGATTCTCTAAGTCAGGAAACATGAGGTTAACAGGAGAATGGAACTAGTGCGAGTCAGAATATGGGCAACAGGATGTTACCTGAATGGGAGCTGGGAGGCTGGCCAGGACAGTAATAGAATAAGTCTAGAGGTAACACAGGTAAGAACATGGGTTTTCAGCAGCAGATGAGCTGAGACATTTATAGAAAATGTTGGGCAACATTTTCAGAAGTAGAAGTAAGTCCTGATGAGGAAATGAATATGTGGTTGGAAGCTCATCCTGGGGTCCAGTACAACACCAAGGTCAAAAACATTCTCGTTCAGCCTCACAGTTTCAAGGGAGAGGGATAGAGACAGAATTCATTATTGTGCACAGACTTTAGACATTTCCTGACTCAAAATGAAAACGTAAGAACTACACAGCCTAACGTCCTGTGGTTTTTTTCATACTACACCAAAAATGTAACACTAAAATTTTTGTGGCATAAAATACCTTAGTAGTAAACAATCCTACAAATACAGCATCCTTCCCTTTAGAAAAAAAAATTTCAGTTTTTAAACATATAAATCCAGTTTGTAAACTTTCAGAGAGCAGATATGATTTCATACAAATGATGTGAAATTAGAATAGGTAAGTTGAGTTTGAATTTCAATTATGCTCGATGTTGATGTTCAATACCTTACATCCCCGTAAAGCAGCTCAAAGTGAAAGGAAACCACAGATATTTATTTATATTGAGGCACATTTCCAATGATGAAAACAAATCTGCACAGTGGTCAGTCTTAAACCCGGACCTGCAGAGAAAAAAATATTATTTTAAAAAATGAAAATAAATCCAGTGAATATTAAGAGGTAAAATTTCTATTAGGTTCTCTGATCATCCACCAAAATTCTAGTGCTACACTGGGGGAAAATGGTATAAACTGCCAGCAATGCTATTTATTCTAGATTTCCTGTGAAATAATAGAGGGGTTCAGGAGAATCTACATGAATAGTCTAGTTACTGAATAGAGGGGCTCACAGTTGCTTTTAGTTGTCATATGGAGTGACTTTGATTGGCTGGACACTGGCATTGATGATCAGAATCTTTGGGAGAGTACGGAAAATTCTTCACGCATTTGACTGAAGATAATTGCAAACATTCCGGCTTTTTGTCCTGCACACATCTGGGCTGTACCATTGTTAACAGACCTCCTCTTCCCATTTAGTTCTCTATTTATCTACTGTCATTTTCAACTAGATATAATAGGATAACAAGACATCATTCTCATTGTGGGACTACAGACCTCTGGCTATGTCATGCTGAATTTGATGGTTTGCATGCAGAATCAATGTATTTTATCCTCTAGGTCTGCACTTCATTATACCGTATGTCTAATGGTGCACTGGGCACATCCTTATCCAGTCCCCATTGGATTAGAGTAGGTATCACAGTTGGATGTAAGAGTGAGATGTGCCAACTTATAGATGATGGTATACAATTTTGTAGCTGCTCCTGGCTCAGTCATTGCGGTTGTTTAGTTTTGGACTGCTGATTCATGACAGTGGGCTGTTTTAGTTTCTAAATTCAGAGTACATTTTGTACATGTACAACCTTGTTTCATTTAGTTTAAGACAAAATACTAATTCATCAGTTGAGAGTGGGTAGGGTACCTAAGTTGCAACCAGCCAATGTTATTCCACAATGGCTGCATTCCTGGTGGGCCTATCCTACAAATAGACAAGGCTCACAAGGATAGTGATAGAGATGTCTGAGACATGATACCATAAATACAATAAAGCTAAATTGTTTGTTTAGCAGTCTGCCAGACTGCCCTCTTAGTTGTACCCCAGTGTGTAAATGATACAGAAGGTAGTATTCCTGCCACAGACTCAGAAGATCTGGGTTCAAGTGCCAACTCAGGGCTTGATGATTGAGGATGATATCTTCAAAATGCAGTCCTTCCAACACAGGCCAGTTACAGGCATTAAGATTAGAACAGATTCCTAGTCAGTCATGTGATTGGAAGAAAGTTGACGTTTCTACTGTTTGAAGACTACCATGTGTGTGTAAAGGTGCAACTCAAGATTCCTTGAGTGATCAGTAACATATCACATCTAGACACTGCTAAGAACAAGACCACAGGGCTGACTAGGCTGTGAATAACAACTGTCCCTCTGTTCATTCTGAGAGCTCCACAGTTCTTGATGTGCTCAACCACTCCCTTACCTCCACTTTTGATGCCCTTGACCTCAGCAAGACATTCACTGAATCCTATGCCAATCACTTCCCTGGAATAATCATCAATTTCTGTCCCCTAAGTCCAAGGTATACGGGTTTAATAACAGCTAGGACACAACTGATTTTAGCTAGCTAAATCAGATTAGCACAAATCAATACTTACTCAGCCTTATTCATTGCCCACTAGAAACATCCTGCAGAGAAAAGGTAATCACTCCACTTTTTCTTCTCCTTCAGTGGTTGTCTTCATCCCTGCCTCCTCTACCCTCAACTCCCAACAACTGAGAGTCTCAGCATTTGTTTTAATCACCAAGACAAAAAGAAACTATTTCTTCAGCAGCCCCTGCTGTTTTCATTCCTGCCCATTACCCACCATGTTAATCCTCTTGTGCTCAGCTCTGAATTTCCATCGCTCCAGTTTCCTAACTTGTCACCACCAAGAGCTCTTTCCAACCTTGCCTAATTCATGAGAGCTACCTCCTGCTCTCAACAATCTCCATAGCCACTCAAGTGCTGGCCATCCAACTTGTATTCCAGGCTAATGGGATCATCAAGTTTCCTGTTAATGACTTTCTTGGTCATGTTGTCCATTTTGATACTACTGCACTCTCAATCATTCATAAAAGCATCTGTAACAGTACCTTCTTTGTAACCTTGTATTGTCACGTCAGCTCCCCCCAAGGATTCACCTAGATGCTGCACCTTGATCACATCATCTGCCAACATGGAGTCAGCTTTCCTATGTATGCTGGTGAAGCCTAACTCTCCCTCAATACCATTACCACTCTCAACAACTCCACTGCCTCTGTGCTTTCAGGCTACTTCTATAACATTCAAACAACATCCTCCAGCTGATAAGCAGGTAAATCCTGGGAGCTAAGAATTGGAAGAATCTCATAGGTGGAAAATTGGCTTGTCCAGCATGGAGACTCAGACATTTTCTGTAGGGACGACAGGAGCTCTCCTGTTTCTTCTTTGATTGGCTTTACTGAACAGCGTGATTATGGTGGGTACCCCACACCGTTGGCAATTAACTGACCTAGGAGGGCATGCCAGCCACTTAAGAGGACCAGTTAAAGGAGCCACAAGCTGGAACGCTGCAGCCCTTTTCAGTGACAGCTTTAACTGCTCCATTCCAATTTGACTGCATGGGTTATGATCATTTCAATATTTCCATCATTGTGTGTTTTGCAATGAAGATAAAATGAAGAATAGTGAAGACAACAAAGCTCCTGGAGAGTTGGTGGAATAGTGGGTCTGCAATAAGCTAGGAACATTTACAGGTTCAGTCATACATACAGTGACAGTGCAGCAAGATCACTTGGCTTGTTGGAGGCACCACAGCTTGGCCCTCAAGCTGGGTTTTCTTCATCTCTTTATTTGGGAAGTTATCACTACCTAGTTTGTACAATAAAATAAATAAGACCGGATAAATTTGCATTTTCTTTTTATGGTTACCTGGTTTTGCAGACATTAACGCTTGTGGGCATTTTTTGCAGCACGTTGAGTTTTTGTCTGCAAAGGAGATAGAAAAAATAGTGCAATCAGATATCACTATGCCGTAGATTAAATGTAAAATCTATTCCATCTTTATGGACAAGAAGCTGAAACAAGCAGTAAGATACAACCAGAATTTATCTGTATTCTGATAGGGAAGAAATAATTAAATTAGGCAGGACTCGAGTTTTGCTCACCATGCATACAAAATATGTTCACCTGTCAACTTGAAGTACTGCTGAAAATGTACAAATAAAAGTTGAAATATGATCTTGTAATTTCTATGATTGCTTATGTCCCAAGGAGGCTGACAGCACAGCCAATCAATTGTAGTTAAATGGAGGCAGTAGGTTTGATAAGCCATTAGATTTTTTCAATTCCATGCTACTGTGAATAGTACTGTGGTGACTGCAGCTAAATACACTCAGACTGAGCTCGTGATTCCCCTTAGTCAAAAACTAGTAACATTTTGATAATTTAAAGAGCTCAAACTATCAGGATAATCTGTTCCCTTGGAACATTTAAAGGAATCTCACCGGTGAGGGTATCAAGAGCTCCTCCATTCTCTGCAGAGTTGTGCTGGTAATCTTTTCTTCAAAAAAGTAGAGCCATGGAGGCTCTGGCAGTGAGACATAAATACGTAACAGGGATGTGGCCGCAATATCGTGAGTATGCAGGTCATACTAGCAACAAGGGAAAACCCGCTGGGGAAAGCTCTTTGGGAGAGTGTCCACGCAAAGATGTCAGACAAGAAATGTAAGACAGTACAGAAGGCAGTCGCAATCGGCTGTCTAACGAAGGAATAGACAGAATGCTGACAGCAGGCCAAGTTAGAAAGGGACAGGTTAGAAGAAGAGAATAAGAGACTCCGTGAAGAGGTGGCCTGCCTTTAGCGAGAAGGGAATTGATCTGCAGGGACAGAGGAGTGCGGGCTTGGTACATGTGAATCAGTAAGAGCTGGTTTTGTTGGGTCAGGACGAACATCAGCTTGCCTCTCTCTCAGGTGACTCGCTATATTCCAAGTAGCACAGCTACCTTCCCTTTTAATGTAAAGAATCTTATCCCAGGAATTTTGAGTTTGTAAGTGTCAAAGGTCAAGTTCCACTGCCCTTCAGTTCAAAACGTGAAGCCTTTCCCACCTAATGAGAAATATACTTTTGAATCCAAGCTTGTCATTTACATGGAGGATTTCTGGTGAGGAGAGACTGAAAATCTGACAATACAGACCAGTCAGAGATAGTAGG